GGGTAAATGGCGTGACTTTTTTTTTTCTGATTGGTGTGAACTGTTGGGCTGTTTCTTCTGCAAGGTGAATCGGAAAGTCTTGCTAGGAATGTGGCTCCCCCCACCGCTTGGAGGGGAGTATGTGATCTGTGTGCCAAAGGCCCTGGTAGCCTTCAGTCTGTCAAAACGTTGCAAGCTGGGAGCAGTTTGCCAAAGCAAACTATCAAAGTGAAATAACACACGAGTTGCACACACACAGACACACACATGCTCTCCCATTCCCCAAACATTAATTTCGAATTGGGTCAGCAGGAACAAGACTTTGGGCCAGATTGCCAGTGTTTTGAAGAGCTGTGGGCACAGCTATGGACTACCAATTAGATAGGTATGTGTGAGGAGGGTGGGGTGTCCTAAAGTGGAGTCTGCAGTGTAGGGGTGGGAAACTTCCAGCCCTTGGCCGAGTTTCATCTGGCCCCTGGGGTTATATATTGCTCTGGCTGCTGCAATTGCAGTCCAAAGAATAATTTCCCCTCTGGGGGAATTTATTCTATTCCATTCAGAGCAGAGCCCACTTAATAACTAAGATTTTATTCCAGCATGAATTTTATTGGGTACCCCTATGCATCTGAGCCTCACTAGGGCCTGACTTGGTGAAGAAAAGAAGCATTTGAACATCTAAACATAACTCGCATAGCCTTTTTGCAACAAGAAGCACTCACAAACATTTTATTGCCAGACCTTGTGTAAATCCTTTAAGAACAAGTTTAGGGGAGGTCATGTAGAGAATCTAGTATTCTTGCCTGAAAAATCCTGTGGACAGAGGAGCCTGGTGGGCTATAGTTCAAAGGGTCACAAAGAGTCAGACACACTGAGCAACTAAACACACACATGCAGAGGCTCAAAAACATACTGATTTTTATAAATCCCTCATAAAAGAGCTTTTAAAGCTCCCAACATTACTTTGGACACTTTAAAATGCGTTAATTTGCACTATTTCCACTCATCTTGAAATTTCACAGGTCACAAGATGATGAAGGCGTATTCATTAATTCAATGAATTAAGCTCTTTCTATACAGCAGACACTCTGCTTGGTGCTGGGAGATAGAGGAGTGATGCTTATATCCTAATGGGCAGAAGAAGAAGTTTAAGTGAATAAACACATACTATGTGAGATGGTAGGGCTTCCCTGGTGGCTCAGTGGTAAAGAAACTGCCTGCTAATGCAGGAGCCACAGGTTCGATCCCTGGGTTGGGAAGATCCCCTGGAGGAGGAAATGACAACCCACTCCACTGTTCCTGCCTGGGAAATCTCTTGTACAGAGGAGCATGGTGGGCTACAGTCCATGGAGTCACAAAAGGGTTGGACATGACTTAGCGACTAAACAACAACAGCACGTGAGATGCTAAGTGCTGTGGAGCAATAGAAATAGGTTAGGTTGGGAGCGGGTGTCCTGGGGAGGGAACATGCTATAGCCATATCTGGGAGGAGAGTTGACCAGGCAACCCTGGAATGTAGTTCCTCCAAGAGAGTGGAAAACTTAAAATTTTCCCTTCTCCCATTTTCCACTCCTTCTCCCACTCCAAGTCCCCCTGACTATTATGGCAGTGCAGCCTGGGATGAGTGGTTATGCAAAACAGCTCCTGATTGCATTACAAATATGTGGCTTAGGTGTGTGCCAAGGACTTTGAGGGGCTGAGGTGTAACACATTTCTGGAGCTGCTGTTTGTTTTTTTAACAAAACCACACCAATCTGGTTTTTTTTTTAAATGAGTAAACAGTGCCAGAATGTGTTACAAGTGATTCAGATTTGTGGGCACAGCTTCATAATGTACTTTCTTGCACGTAAACTCAGTTGAGACAGTCAGGGCGGGTGCTGTTATTCCCATTTTACAGATGAAGGAACTGAGGTGCAAAGGTGATCTGCCCAAGGTTATTTAACCAAGGAGCATAAACTCCCGAATTGTGATGCCCGTGTCCCTTGGTTTCTAGAACAACCTAGATCTAGTAAGAATGCAAGTAGAAAATAATTGTTCTTTTCTCATCACCATGTTCACACCTACTTCTTTAGATGCCCCTGCCTTGTCAAGGGAAGGCAGTTTTCTGGTCCATTGCAGGTTTAATGAGCAGTCTACTTACAAGTATCAAAAAGCCCCCAAAGATGTGTGTATGTGTAGGAGGGATAGCTTTAATGGTTGCATGTCCATCCTTCTAGAAGTTTTAGTTTTCTTTTAGTAGCTTTAGTTTTCATTTTCCTTGAGTCATTTTTGGATGAATCTAAGACATCAGTAACTTCACCATCCAGACCTGCACCCTTAGCCTCCTCTGTGCTGAGCAGCACAAATCCAGGTGCCTGTGCATTGAATAGTACAGAGACAGAACATTTTCATCCTCATAGAAAGTTGTCTTGGACAGCACTGGCTTAGAGCCTCAGCAAGTTATAAATCAACTCTTTGATTCTTTTCACCACTCATTTTCATATTTTTCTGAATAGATTCCTTACTTGGAGGGATTTTGTGTATATTTTGCTACATTAAAAGAAATCTAGTCAGATATAAAATCTTTAGTCTCTCGTCCAATTTAAAGCTCCTTTCCTCCCACATCCTGGGCCTGCTCTGGCCCCAGAGCACTGTAGCAGGGAAGAGCGAGCTTGGCTGTTTTCTTCATGCTCCTGGCTCCCCTCTGAGCCCTCTCCCTTTGGTCCTTGTTCCTCCAGGATGGAGCATGAGGCAGAGAGGTAACTGGGCATAGAGGATCCCAACAGGAGTGGTGCCCACTGTCAGCTGATGTGGCTGTCTTGGCTCGGCAGATGTCAACACTGTGGATTCTCCTCTGGGTGCACTTTGGTCCTTTGAAGAGCCTCCTATCACTGGGGTCTCCTGCTGTGGATCCCCTGGTGCAGGCTGTGCAAACATCCGCTGCCCCTTTACTGTCTTCCCCTAGCTCCTGGGCCCCCTGGGTACACATCTCATATCACCCTGTGTTTTGGGGGTTACTTGATCCTGATGAGTTATCTTCTTTGAGGAGGTCCTTACTGGACAACTTAAGTCCCATTTTCCACAGGAGAACCCCAGCCTCTCCTGCCCCTGCAAGTTCTAGGTACACAGACTTCTCATGCTCCAGCCCTCTCTCGCCACTCTGTGCTCCCAGACATTCCAGCTAGGTTTTGACCTTTAGATACTTTTCAGGGGACAATCAAGCACCACTCGATATATTGCAGACACAGAGGGTCCAGATCAAGCTCTCAAATTGTTGCCCTCCTTATTTCCTCCCCTTGTAGCAGGCTGGAGGTGCTGTGCTCAGCCCTCCTGTATCCCTAGCAAACGTGTCCCATTCTCCAGCCCACACCCCTCTCCTTGTTCAGGCCGCAGGTTGAAGATGGGTGGGGCCAGAGGAAGACACCTCCCTTTCTGGTCCTGAACAGATGGTTACATCCTTCTCTTTGGAATGTGTGGGTGTGTCATCCCCTAGGTTCTTAGTTTTGGGGCCTCAATGCAGCAATGCATTTAACACCTTGGTACAGAGGCACCTGGCATCCGTGGGGTAGCAAAGAGTTAGACATGACTGAGGCACTGAGCAGCAATAACATATCCTTTCCCCCTGCTTCTTGTCCCATCACATGATCTCTAACCAGTCTGGCCACATCCATTCTGTGTGGTTTCCTAGGACCGGACTCATTTATACACAGTGGGGGTTAGGGTGGAACTTAGGGTTCCTAGAGATGGTGGGAGCTTTCCTAACTCCACAGGTCTTACCCCCCAGCTTCAGACGGATTTTCCTCATGCCTACCTCTACACAGGACAAGGGCTCATCTCTCAGCTACATTGGAGGCCTCTAAAAGGTTGAGAACCACTGGGTTACCTGACTGTGCTCAAGGTTTAACCCTAAGAAGATTTCCAAAGGCAACTCAGTAGGACCAGTGGCCTTTTTGCTTTGATGCTTCAAACAGTGCCGTTGATGACATGACATCAGGGAGCTCTGGGCATTTAATTAATTGGCAGTGCTTATTTCTGCTCTGACTCACTAACTGTGCTGGGCGTGTTCACCACTGTTGTCCTCGGTGATCCTTACATATGGCAATCTTAAGGCTCACAGACGTGGCCTCACCCAGGATAACCTGGATGGGAATGACAGATTTGGGATTCTAGCCTCCAAGTGTTTGAATCCAAAACTTCATTCTCTTCCAGCTCACCCTGTTGCCTTGGGGCCAGTTGGCTCCTGTTTCTACACCTTCTCTTTATTTGATGACAAGCCCTAATCAGGGCTGGTGACAGTAGGGCTTAACACAGCTAATCCCACCCATGGAGAACATATGTGACACTGAAGGGCCAAGGACAGACAGAGGAATTGTTCTGAGGAAGCCCAGGGTGTGGGAGGGGAACTTCCCTGGCCAGGCTCAGAAGCCCCCCTTCTGGGCTGACATTACCACCTCCATGAGGACCAAGCATGCATGAGCACTTACTCTGTGCCAGGCACCATGTGTTACCTTATGCAGCCTTCCCCAGACCTCCAGCCAGCTTCTGTTGTATCCTGATCTTACAAGGAAGGAGACTGAGGCTCAGAGAAATTCAATGTCCTGACCTGGAAACCTTGCCAGTAAGTGGTAAAGCAGAGTTTGATCCCAGGTCTGCCTCATGCCAAGGCCCTGCCCACAGCACTGGGCTGCCTCCTTGCCTGTGGGGCTAGCCCATTTCATCTTCACTGGGTTTACATCCCAGGGCCCATTTGGGCTGTGCTCCTTCTCTTGTGGCTCAGCTGGTAAAGAATCTGCCTGCAATGCGGGAGACCTGGGTTTGATCCCTGGGTTGGGAAGATCCCCTGGAGAAGGGAAAGGCTACCCACTCCAGTATTCTGGCCTGGAGAATTCCATGGACTGTATAGATGGGGTCGCAAGAGTCAGACACAACTGAGCGACTTTCACTTTCACTTCCTTCCAAAGATGAAATGGAAATATACCTTTCCACTAGATGCTGCTGCCTGGAACATGCTCACAGCTCTGCCTGTTGTTATTTTTCCTTCTCAGTGTCCTGGGTTCCCTCCTGCTGCTTGGACTCCAGCTCGTCTGCCCGCAGCCCTCCACTGAACACAGAAAGGTAAGCCATGGCCTTTCTGAGGCTTTCCTTTTCTGCCTAGGTCCTGGGGTCATACTAGTCATCAGCGCCTTGAGTTTTATTCTGTTTGGAGGTGAGTCACTGCTGATTCTCAGAGGATGCACCATTTAGAGGATGTTCACCCCTCCTAAGTCCTTGATGTTAAAGATGAAGCCAGTGCCCAGGGTCAGTCTCTGATCTGAAAGCAGGGCTGGCCTTGCAGCCCATGTCTGATAGAGTGCGTCAGTTAAGGAGAGGCCAGCGGGCAGACTCTACCCCCTGGGAGTGGAGGGGCGCCAGCACAGAGCTTTGACCTCCTCTATGGGCACCTTCAGCACGATGGGTGCTGCATGGTTAGAGCTGTGGTGGGAGCCATCCATGATTTTCGGTAGAAGGACACCAGCCAATCGCCAGGCAGGGAGAGAACAGGGAAATAAAGACCTGGCCCTGTCTTTTCTCCTCCCCTCCATCTCCTGCTGGCGAGTCCCTCAACCTGAGCCCAATCAGAGGACAGAAAACAAAGAAATCCGTCCATGCAGCGCTCAAAGGCCAGCCTTCTGGGCAACAGGGCTGGGTGGAGAAAGGTGGACAGAGCCCCTGGGGGACACATGGACAGTGTCGGGCACGCTTCCCGGCAGGCTCAGGTGTTTCATAGTTAATGAACCACACGCTGTTGCCTAAAGAAGCCCAATGCTGTCCTGCAGCAGAGCGGTTGCATGATTAATATTTCCTTAGAAATAGGTGCATGATATGACCTTGGGAAGGTCCCTCAAATCCCTTTCTCCTGCCTAAGAACTCCTGGTGTCTAAAGGTAATGAAATGCAGACACTTTGGAGAGGACTAATAGGCCAGCCATTTGTATGTAAGTGTGACTGAATTGGTTGGAACCTTTCCTAGAGGGGTTTTCAGAAGGGAAGTCCAGGAGAGAAGGGAGCCAAGAAATGAGTATGTGTACGGGTTTGCCTAGATATGCACCTTCTTGGGACAAGTTCTTGATGTTCTTGTCTGATGAGTCTTGTTTCTTTTAGGTCTGTGGATTGTGTTCTGACTTTGTCTTTCTGGGCCAGATATGAACCTGTATTGTGTGGTGTCCTTCATTAGGGTGTCAGCTCCATGAAAGTGGGATCTTACCTGTCTTGTTCATTACCCTATTTCCACCTCCTGGAATACAGCCTGACATGTTGTAGGTGCTCAATAAAACACCTGTTGAATGACTGACTGAATGAGTGAGTGGAAAAACTGGCCAAGATCTAAGCATTATTTTGGTGGATGCTTGGCAATTTACACCCCTCTTAACCAGCTGGCTCAGTGGTAAAGAATCCACCTGCTGATACAGGAGACGTGGGTTCGATCCCTGGGTTGGGAAGATCCCCTGGAGAAGGAAATGGCAACCCTCTCTGGTATTCTTGCCTGGAAAATCCCATAGGCAAAGGAGCCTGGCAGGCTACAGTCCATGGTATCGCAAAGAACTGGACATGGCTTAGTGACTAAAAAATGACAAATATTTTACTGCATCATTCCCATTCATGATTTCAAGAGTCAGAAAGGACAACTATTATAGATTGAATGTTTGTATTCCACCCCCAACCCCCCAACCCCATGCTAGCCTAAGATTGGTGTGTTAAAACCTAACCTATGTGATGGTATTTGGAGGTGGGGCCTTTGGGAGGTGATTAGGTGATGGAGTGGAGTTGTCGTGAATGGGGTTAGTGCCCTTGTTAGCAATAGGTGAAAGCCTGCTGCCCCGTCCTGTGAGGATATAATGAGAAGTCTGCACCCCAGGGCTGGGACTGTGCTGGCACCCTAACCTCAGACTTCCAGCCTTCAGAACTGTGAGAAATCAGTTTCTGTTGTTTATACACCACTTGATCTATGATACTCTGTTTTAGCAGCCCAAATTGACTAAGATAGAAATTGGCACTGAGAAGTGGTGATGCTGCTATAACAAATATATAAAATGTGGAAGGGGATTTGGAACTGGCTGCTTGGTAGATACTGAGGAGGTTTGAGGTGCAGGCTAGAAAAAGCCTACAATGACATAAATGGACTTTTAAAAGTGACTCTGTTAAGAGCTCAGAAACAAAAGAGGAGGGCTGTAGAGAAAGTGTCAATCTTCCTAGAGAACACCTAAGTAATCTCAACTAAAATGCTGGTTGAAATATGAACATTAAAGGCCATTCTGATGGGGTCTTAGGTGGTCATGAGGAACATGCTATTGGAAACTGGAGGAAAGACTGTGCTTGTTGTAAAGTGGCAAAGAACTTGGCTCATTCCCGCTGTAGTGTTTTGTGGCAGGTAGGAGTTGTAAGGGATGAAATTAGATATTTAACCAAAGCCATTTCTAAGCAAAGTGTTGAAGGAGTGGCCTGGTTTCTCTTGACTGCTCACAGTAAAATGTGAGAAGAGAGAACTGATTTAAAGATGGAATTGTTAACTGGAAAGGAAGCAGAACACAGAAGTTAAAGACTTAGAAATTCTTCAGCCGATGCATATTGAAAAGAATGAGAAAGCCTGTCCAGGAAAGAACAAACGCTAAGGGTGTGGTTGAGAGACTGACAGGGTGATTAGTCAGCCATCTTGACAGAAGCCAGAGGCTATTGTCCAAGACAATGGAAGACTGTAAAGGGGGCGGTGGTGCCTTCCGGACATGGTTCGTCTTGGCACCGTCTCCCTTGGTGGTTCCCACTCCCCACACTCAGGCTGAGTTCCTAGGCTGACCCAGGAGCTGCTCCAGTGATGACCCAGCAAGGTTGGGCTGTGCCTAGCAGAGCCTTGGGGGGCGTGACTACCTCCACCTGGATTTCAAAGGACAAGGCTTGAGCCAAGGTGCCAGGGCCCCAACCCTGGAGAACCACAGTGAGAGCAGGGAAGCCTGGAGCTTTGGGGCCCCAACCTTCTCAGGTAGGATCATGGGCCCAGTGGGCCTGGAGAGCAGAGCACAGAGCCAAAGAGAATTATTCTTAAACTTTTATGAACCTTTCCTGGGTGGGTTGCAGACTTTCTTCTTTCCTCTTCTTCCCATTTGGAATGGGAATGTCTGTACTGTGCCTGTCTTACCATTTTATTTTGGAAGCACATAACATGGTTGATTTCACATATTTATAGCTTGAGAGCAGTTTGCTTCAGTATGAATCATACCTTGAGGCTCACCTATGTCTGATTTAGATGATATTTAGGGGAGACTTAGAACCTAGACTTTAATAATGATACTGGAACCAGTTAATGCTTTCTAGGTTATTGGGATGGAACAAGTGTATTTTGCCTGTAAGAAAGATGTGAATTTGGGGGGCCCAGGGATAGAATATTATAGATGACACATATCCCCCCAAATTCATATGTTGAAACTAAATCCCCAGTGTGATGCTCTTTGGAGGTGGGACCTTTGGAAGGTGCTTAGGTCATGAGAGGATAAATGTCCCTTATTAAAAAGGTCATAGAGGGATCTCTTGCTTTCTCTGCTATGTGAGGATACAGGGAGAAGATTGCTGTCAATGAACAAGGAGATTGGTTCTCCTCAGACATCAAATCCACAGGCTCTTTCATCTTGAACACCCCAGCCTTCAGAATTGTGAAAAATAAATTTATGTTTTCCATAAACCACCCAGTCTATAGCACTGTTTTTATTGCAGCTGGATCAGACAATCAGCTATTTTCATTATTATGTTCTATTATTTATTAGTATTTAGAGCTATCAGGGTTATTAATCTTAACAGTTCAATCAATCTACCAGTGTTCTTTTTTTCTTTTGCTGTTATTCAAATAGACCATCATATCTTAAAATATTTTATAAATGGTCAGTTTACTTTGCTGTGTCTATTAATTTTTCAGGTTAGCCTGAATGATATATATGTAGCCTGAACAAAAGTTTCACAAAAAGGTACTGCCTCCATTTTGCTTTGCTGCTTCTTTTTTTTTAGTTTATTCTCTTCAGCAAGTTGTACCATAATGTGCTTGGTAAGTCTCCATATTTCTTAAATAAAGCATCTATTCTGAGAAATTTGGAAGATGACTTATGAATCACTTTGTTGAATTTAAAAACTGAGTGAAAGGTTTCACATTTGAGTGTGTTGTTTCTCCTTTTCACAATATTAAGAACTTCGCAGTAGAGAGTTAGAGTAGGAGCATTTTTTTCAAAATCATTTATAGATTCCTTTACTCAGACAATACACATTTTAGGACAGTTCTCAGATATAATTATGTGCATTTTAGCCACCAGGATCATTTTCATTGTCATTCACCTCAGAGAAGGAAGGTTCAGTGCTTTCTTGATTGGCAAGTTCCTTCTCGAGCTTTTATTGGGGTTCTGTGAAGCTGTGGCTGTCATCCTGCCTGACTGTATCCCAAAGCCCTGGAGCAGCAACAGTGCTGGCAGTAGCAGAATCCATTTATTTCTGCAACATGAGAAATAAGGAGGTACCTATTAAAACAGGGCTTGGAAATGTTTTTCTATAAATGGCCAGTTGTGATTGTTCTAGGCTTTCTGGGCTACAAAATCTCTGTCACAACTAGTCAGCTCTGCTTTTGTGGCACAAATTCAGTCATAAACAACTTGCCAACAAATGTAAATGGCTGTATTCCAATAAAACTTTATTTGCAAAACACTGGATTTGGCTCACAACCCACAGTTTGCCAGCCTCTGCTCTAAAGTCAAGATAGGGAAGAGTTCACTGTAATTACTGTGTATGTATTTCGAAGTTGGAAATTGTCTCCTCCTGGGATCTTAAGAAACTCAGAGGATTTGAGGGAGAAAAAGTATATTTTTTCGTGAAGACCTAAGAATTATGATTGCTATCAAATTGTTTTCGTTGCTTGGATAAATCATGATTGAATTCCTGCTGACTGCTTTGTGGCAAGATCCACTCTCATTCTGTAGAAGAGAGAAGCAGCAAGAATTAGAAAACCATTTATGGTAAATTCTTAAGGGACAGCATTACAAATTTGTGCGCACTGTAGTTCAGTATGCATATGAAAACCACCCTCCAAAAGACATCTCTTTTTCTTTC